TAATTTTCAATTTATTTGTTTTGTACAAATAGTAGTAGCTATATAGTTAGCAGTTTAATGATTAGCCCTGACTGCAAATGTTGGCCTTGGCTATAGCATATATATATATAATTATTTTAAATTATTAATAAAGATATAAGCAAGGCCTTACCTTAATACCAAAAAAAAAAAAAATTTAATGTTTAACATATAGCAACTTAGTTTATATTACAGAAATAAATGTACAATCTCCATTAGTTATAACTGTTTATATATTATAAAAAGTCTTGTTCTTAACTATTTGTTTTAATTAACAAAATACCTAACAAAAGTTTTGTACTGTTTCATTAACAATAAGGCAGCTTGCTATAAGAAATGTAACTTTTATTGTATCAACATCAGTGACAAACAAAAGTAACATTCCAAATTGATTTATTTTATATATAAAATCTATTAACAGAATCTCTAAATAACACTTAAATATAAAAAATACTAAACAGATAGTAAAAAATAAATAATGAAGTTTGTTATTATTGACTAAATAAGTAACTTGATATTTATTATTATTGTTTAAATTATTTAATAGTTTTGTAGTTTAAGACAAACCTTTCATATAATTACAGAAATAATAACTTAAAGAATTATAAATGTCCTTATTATAAATATATCTATTATACTGTATAGTTAACATATTTACAATTGTTAATACTGATATACCATTATCATAAAGCATTTGTATATACATACTTTCATTGATGCTTAATCTATAGTAGTCAGAATCAAATATAACAGTAGCAGAATTCAAAAAGTAATTGTGTTCAAGGCTAACACTTTTTACATAATATTTATTTTTTATCTAATAAATTACTATTTTACAAAAGCAATCAATAGCAATACTTTTAGTCTTTCTTAATTTAATACTTGTGTTAGATGCAATACTAGCATAATAACAAACAATTTCCACTCTAGTAATAAAGCTTATACTTCTTTCTGTATAATAAAGTTATATAACAAAACTTTAATTTATTGCATAAGTATTAATGTGTTGCTATACATTATACCAATCATCAAAGATTTGATCAACTAATACTGTAACATGATTATTGTTAGTTAAATGTTTATTCAGATAAAATTATATTATGGTCATTATTAAAAAGGTTGAAAAGATTATCATTTACTGTAACTACATTATTACTAGTTGAAGATGCTTGTTCAGATAAAATTATATTATAACTACTATTAAAAAGGTCAATAGAATTATCATCTATTGTAACTGTATTATCAATAGCTAAAGTAGTTATTTAGATATTATAGTTACTGTTAAAAATATTAAGAGAATTGTTATTTATTATAATTGTATTATTACTATCTAATAATGCTTGTTCAGATAAAATCATATTGCAACTACTATTAATAAAATTAAGAAAATTATTGTTATAACTATTACTAATATTAATATTATAGCTAGTTTTAACTTTATTATTACAGTTATTATTTTTAAACAATCATTTAAAATTTATTTTATATTGCAGTAATTAACAAGTTTTATGGTGTTTATAGCATAAAAAAAAAAAAAAGGTTGTGTATATAAAGAGTTTATTCTTAATAACAGATTTAAGTAAAAAAAAGTAAAAATTAACTTTTCATATTATTATATTTTGTAAGAATTCAAACTCAAACTAAGATCCCTGTATTTTACATTTATGTGATTTTATATTCAAAGATTTTAACAGAAAAATAGCATAAATTTGGCCTTATGTTTGAAGTAGACAAAAGCTGCATGTAGTTGAGTAGATTAAAACTGTATAAAAAAATTCTATACATTAAAAATTTATTAAAAAGATGCTAATTTTTTATAAACTAACAGTTTGTTGGTTCTTTTTGAATTTGAATTATTTATAGTATATTAAGTTTATTTGTAATAACATCTTAATTTAGTTTAAATTTAACCAAATTAGTTTCAAGTTGACTAAATTCATATTAGCTTAATCTGAATTTAGTTCAAGTTGAACTAAACTCAGATTAGCTTTAACCTGAATTAGGTTCAACTTGAACTAAATGCAAATATAATTAATAGTGCAGCTAAATTAGCTTATGTTAAAGAATAATTATATGATCAATATTACAAAAATAATAATCACATAACAAATTTTAATAAATAATTTTATATATAAAATAAGACATACTAGTCACAAAATCATATAACAGATTAATTTAATCTAGGTTAAAATAGAATTTTTTTAATTAAAATTACTTATTTTTTTTTTTTTTTTTTTTTTACTCTTTGACTAGTCTTGCCAAGATCTTTCAGTGATTCTTGCATTTTTCAAACTAATGTTCTCAATATACTCCTGGATCTGAACCTCGACCTCTCCTGGTCCATACTTTTAAACTTTCCAGAAGCGATCATTGCATCGATCTCTGCTAGTATCGGAAGTCTTCACCAAGCTCTATCAAAAACTAGCTATTGCTATGAGTTCATATAATATCTCTCATTGTCAGACTTTCAGCCTCACATTACATCTCATGACTTCAGTTATTTCAAATCAAATTCTAACTCATGTTCATTACCAGGTGGCTTCTCAATCACAGATCACTTGTCTTTTTTAGAAATAAGTCTGTTTGATGATGTTCTGGGTCTCTGGTATTATGGTGTTGCAGTTCTTTATTTAGAAATGCATCTCTACAATTGCTATCACTAGGATTTAAATTGGCAACCTTGTGATTTGTGATCTCAGAGTATAACTGCTATGCTATTAACCCTAGAAGTCAAAAATTACTTATTATTATATATTAAAAGTAATAAAATATATAATAAATTAAAGAAAAAAATATTATTATTATTTTCAAAAATTTTAATAAGTTCTTTAATAGTAAAATTAAACTAGAAATTTTATCTAGTTTTTATAAATCAAGAAAATAATAAAAGATTTAAAATAGAAGATGGCAATCTTAGTGTAATAGTTGGGTTGTCATCCTTCAAGTGGCAGATTTAAGATTCAAATTCTACTTATAATGAAATTTGGAAATTAATCTGTAATACAAAAAACTGTCTCTTGTCAATCAGTTAGATTTAAATATCTGTAATCTTGGGTATAACCAATTGGATTCTACTCATTATTGAGAGCCTAGAATATTTATATGAAGTATAATATTATATGTATATAGAAGAATATTAATAACTAATATTATATAAGACTTTAGTGCAAATTTATGATAAGATTACCAGATGTAAAAGACTAAGAAACTGAGAAGACAGAAGCTTACTTGGAAATTTCCAAGTAAAAAATAGTACAAACCTTTAACAGTGCTATTGAACTGACAGAAGTCTAGAAAACTCTAATAAGAAATAGGCAGATATAACTAGATAAAATGTATAGAGAAGCATATAAACAACTAGGCTACTGGAATTGCTAAAGAAAAAGAATACTAAAATATACCATACCAGGCTATCTGAATTGAAAGTTTGGAGAGTTTGTCAGATTCTGAATTAGATAATAGAAGGATGAAAAGAAGAAAACAGAAAAATAGGTACTAGGGTTTGAATGAACTTTACAAAAATAAAAATAATGTAATGTAGTGATTAAACAAATAACCTCTATAACTGCAAATATTAAGTAACTATAGTGAGTTATATAAAACTAGGTCAGCTATATGTAGGCTCTAGTAATGATGCTTCTAAAGATACATTGTATAAAATAAGATATAAGGTTCTAAAGATATAGGTAAAATATTTAGACCTTCTTAACTAACATCTGTATTAGAAAATAATTTAGTAATATAGTAGAAATTGTAGTACAAAGAGTTTAAATAAGCAATGCTTCTAGTTAGGTTGCAGGTATGACAGCTAGTATAGAACTATTAGCAGACTATTTAAATTAGACACTAAAAGTGTATATATAGCTAGTTGTACTCTTTAATGTAAAATAACTTCTTTGAAACTTCAGTTATAAGTTTCTATATCCTAATTTACTAAATAAAGTTCTAGTCTTAAAAAATAGCTAGTTTAATTTTAAAAAAAAAATTTTTAAAATATTATTAATTGATAGTCCGCCAGTTATCTGGACAAAATTGTGATGCAGATCATATATATATAAGGCTCAAATTGAAAATTTTAGGTCATATGCAAAAGCTTAAATTTTAATACAATTTTAACAAACAAATAGTGTAAATGGTAGAACAATACTACATGGTTTTGGGGTTAAAACCATTTCGAATAAAAGTTTTTTGTTAAAAACTTTCTTTGGATACATGCGGCATTTACTATAATAAGTATAGTTAGGTTAATTTGAATTTATAGATGTATTAACTATAATTTCAAACCAATTTTTTTAAAAAGTAGGTTATTTATAATAACAGCAGAGACCGTTGCATGTAACTATCAAATCTTTATCAATAACGCTAATCCATAAATGATATATATATAGAAGATACTTTTTTTTTTTTTTATTCTGAAAAGTATATTTATTGATGATTACAGAATTACTTGTCTTTGTAGTATGCTAAAAATTTCAAAGATTTTGCAAGGATTATTATTGTTTAAGTATACTAAAAAAACTTTTCTTTATATTTTAGAACTTAATTACCTTAGGCATGTCAATAGGTTTTACCTTTTTGTACATATGTTTTGCTGACAATTTACAAAGGAAACTATTTGCATTAGAAGCCAGAATAATCAGATTTCATTTTTCTTTTTAATGTATAGTATATATATAAGTGTAACAATATGCTTGTCTTTTTCTGATTCTAATTGCATTTGACAACTTCATATTACCTATTTATTAGCTAGAGCTAGAGAGTTAGCATCTGGATATTGGATCCAAATATTTAATTTTTAATAAAAAAATATTGAATTTTTATTGAAATTTAAGTTTGTTACCCTTATTGATTGAAACTGTATAGTATGTTGGTTAAAAACTGAAATTATTTTCACTGGCGAAATACTTTTGATCAACATTATATATTTCTTTAACATACTTCTTATGTTCGTTCTTTTTAACTTCATTATTAAGAATCTGCAGAAAAGGATAACGCTAATGACTGTTTTGTGCTTGGCAATTGTCATGAAGATGGAATTGAAGTTAAAAGGATGAATATAAGGTGTTCATTTATTATCAAAATCCATAAAAATGGGCAATGCTGGTAAAACAAGTAATATTATGGAAATAAATGGATACTTCATATTTATTCTTTTTAACATTAATTCTATAACAATAACAATATCCAACATTAGATATTCCATTTTATGTTTATCCTTTTCAATACTTATTCCATGATGATAATTATATTTTTCATCAGCATTACCCATCCTATGTTTATTCTTTTTAACACAAATTCCATGAAAATAACAATATCCAACATTATATTTTCTATTAGCATTATCCATCCTATATTTACCCTTTTTAACACCATTTCTATAGCGATAACAATATCCAACATTAAATGTTCTATAAGCACCACCCATCTTATATTCATTCTTTTCAACACCAATTCATTGGCGATAATAATGTCCAACATTAGAGAATCAGCCAGGGCAGACCTCTGAAGTTTGGGTTATATGATATATGCCATTGCAGTAGAATCTAGTATTTTAGTTATCTACAATTCACAGGTCGAATGAATGAATAAAGGGTGAATAATAGGTAAATAACAAAAAAAAAAACTGCCATTATTCTACCTTATATCTGCCAAATAATAGCAGCATAACAGCAGCATAACAGCAGAATAACAGTAAAATAACAGGAGGTTTGTCAATATGAGTAACATAATAGTAACATAATAGCAAAATAATAGAACAGTTTCATTATTTTACTTTTAGTCTTTGTAACTAAAAGTAAAATAATAGAACTGTTCTATTATTTGCTATTATGTTACTATTATATTACTCATATTGACAAACCTTCTGTTTTTTTACTATTATTCTGCTATTATGTTGCTGTTATGCTGCCATTATTTGGCAGAAATAGAGTAGAATAATGGCAGATTTTTTTTTGTTATTTACCTATTATTCATTTTTTATTCATTTATTCAACCTGTATAAACAATACTTAGCTTATAACTTTTATAGAGTATATTTAGAAAATATTAATTAAAATAATTAATAACAAACTTAACATATTTAAAAAATATTTAATATTTAATAACAGCAATTATATAATATTATTTAGTACATTTATAGCTTTATTTATAGTTATATTAATACATATTATAGAAATGCAAATATATAAAAACAAAAATTATAATTATTATTACAAAACATATCAAAAATTTATAATTTTGTTTATATTTTACTATTATACAAAGTCTTATAATAAATCAAGTTACCAAAGAACTGATTGAACTATAATTAATATTTTTATAGCCCAAGTCAATACTATAATTACAAACTATAATCATATACAAAAAAAATATTTAGTATATAATAGTTAAATTAAAAAAACTAATTATTTCTTTATTATAATACATATATTATAACTTTTTTCTAATTCGAGTTATTAAAAAATATACAAAATATAAAATAGAAGCAAATATATTTATCTTGACAAATAATCTTATTATATACAAAATTAATCACTCAGTATTAGCATATATGAATAACACTATTTAAATAGCAGCATCAAAAAAAGACTATTCAAAATTTATAGTTATAAAATTTGATAATTAAACTAATATTTAAATTAATTTAACCAAATTAGTTTTAGTAACAAATATAACCAAAATAAGATTTATTATAATATTTAACAACAAAACTATCTTAAACATTTTGATAAAAAAAACTTTTAGATTTCTTAAATACTAGTACACAATAGAAAAAAACAAATTTTTATATATCAAATTATAATATCAAAAATAACTAATATAATTAAAAAAATTAAAATATTTAAACATTACAGAAAAACAAATTATATATATATTAATACTATAATATTCATTAAAATTGCCTATTATATCCAGAACTTTAGACTACTTAATACTATATATAACAATATTATATACAATTATACAGCTATAGCAAAATATAAAGCAGGTCTTGAGAGGGTGTGGCAATCTAGTAAAGTAGTCAAATTGTCAACTTTCAAGTGGTAAGTTGGATGTTCAAATCCAATCAATAGCAAAAATTTGAATAATCATCTATGTAAGATTTATATTATGGCAACTGTTACTAATAATTAGGTTAGAATACCTGTAATGGTAATCATACCAACATGACTAGTAGGTTATAGAGTATTTGTGCAATGTTGAAGTTATATAGAGAAATGCAAACTGACAAATCGAATGATGCAAACACTAGATAAATCTTTGTGCCTATATAAATTTATTGAAATTGGGTAACAAGAAATCTATTTGAAAAGACTCAAATAGAGAGATAGCTAGATCTTTGACAGTTCTACTGTAAAGACTAGCCTGGCAAAATAGATACCAAGGTCTAGTATCTGGTTGTAGTAACCAGATGGACAAGAACCTCTGGGTTAGGAGTTTCAGAAATACCACCAATCAGATTGTCAGAATGAATCTGAGAAAAAGAATAATAAGCTGATCCAATATACTAATAAACTGGTTATAGTTCTATATAGGCTATTTGGATTAGAAGTTTGATAAAAAAATAGAGGAAAAGGCAGAGATATACTAAAGTACTGAGATTATGCTGTGAAGTAGATGCTGGGATCTAAGTGAACTCTACAAAAACATAGTAGTTTAATAGTTAGCTCTGATTACAAGTGTTAGTTTTACTATAGCAATATCTAAGTTAAGTGTAAAAATGAATACAGAAGACTCTAGAGGGTTTACCTTGAGGATAAATTAGTTCTAAGGTTGAGATGATGATCTGAGCATCTGGGTATGACCCAGTGAGTTAACACAGGTTACAGGTTCAAAGGGTTTAAAGTAGAACATCCAAGCAAAGGTGTTAGATACAGCAATTGGTAAGGAACCTTCAAGCAAACTTCTTAAATAGGTAATATAGAAAAATTACATGTGTAGCCAATTGTACACTCTTCTGTAGTAGTTTATTGAACCACAATACTGATAAGTAATTAATAAAAGTCAAAAGACCAAAGAGATCACCTTAATAAAAAAATAAAAATAAAGCAGGTTTTGTTATATTTATTTCAAATTTTACAATATTTTATTACAAAATACATGCTTTCAAAAAAGTTGATAAAATTCAAAACTAACAACATATAGTCAAAACAATTTATCAGCTCAACTATTCCAACTCTTATAAATTTATTTTCAAGATTTCCATTTATTAACACTGATTTAGGTGCTTTTCTTTATATAAGTTACATGCTATGCTTAATAGTCATAAACAAATAATTTTATTTGCCAATTTGGCTTGTATACTTTTCTTTATATAAGCACATGTTGTGCTTAATATTTACATGCAAATATTTTCATTCACCAACACGGCTTAGGTACATACGTATATTTCTTATAACTACCCCAGTGTTACTACCAAAAAGGTGCAGTCATGTGATATCTTTGTGGCACAAACCAATAAGATTTCAAGGTTAGGTGTAACGCTGCACGATTAGGAAAATTAGTTAAGCCAAAAATCGCTTAGAACTCAAAAACTTACATAGGAAACCATCTTTAGTGCACAAACAAAAAATTTTCCTTGTGAGATTTTACTAATACACACTCACTAACATATAACTATAATATAGCCTTAACGAGGGAAGACCATTAACTATATATAAGCATATGCTGTGTTTAATAGCCACATGCAATATTTCATTCAACATGACTTCTTTGTAAGATGCTATGCTTAACAAATATTTCATTCATCAACATGGTTCAGGTACATTTCTTTATATGAGCCACATACTGTGCTTAATGGACACGCAAATATTTTCATTCACCAACATGGCTCAGTCTTTTCCAATGTCTTAGAGAATTTAAACTTTGCTGAGAGCTTTGACCCTCGCCAGGGGTTTCGCATTTCGCATTTCGCCGGGGGTTTCGCCTTTCGCCAGAGTTTCTCCACTTTCGTCTTTCGCCATTTGCGCAAAACAGTTTCGCCTAAAAACTGTACGCACAGCTATAATTAGTAATCCTTTTAGATCGTCTCATTTTTTTTTATTTGTGGTTAAGAAAAATTTTTTTTTCTTTTTATTCATTTGTGTTTTGTCTTCTCTAGTCGTAAGACTTGATGTTTACAAATTTTTTATGTATTAAATTATCATGCATTTTTAATTGCCCGATCAAACGTGCCTTAAATCAGTCAAAGTTTATGACAAAAAAAATCATCAAGTCACATGAAAACGATATGCTTGGTCAAAACCAATGCCAGGTTTCTGACACAAATTAGCCAATCACAAACCAGAATCAGGGTGTAACGTACTTTTTGATTGGTCTACATAAATAAATCGAAAATTTTAAGTTTTGTACTTGAAGCTTTTATAAGTTGTAGTCCGCATTTAAGATAATTATAACACGTAGATTTATCTTTACTGCTGACTTTATCTTACAGAATTATGGAACTTAAAACATTTAAATGATTCATGTTCAAAAAAAATAGTTCATGTTTATGAATAGTTCTTACCAAGTTTACATTTCGTAAACAAAAATTTCTGACAGATATCGCCAATAAATGTACTAGTTTTTGACCCCGTATATAGCTTGATATTCTTCTATTTTTGTCAAATGTTTGTCGTAACAGCCATGCTCTTTAAGATAATGAACGATATTTTCCAAAGTAACAATTGAATTCACAGGGATGCCATAATCTTGTTCAATCTGTTGAGCAGCAGAATAAATGCCCACACCTTTCTCTTGTCTATCTACCGCAACAACGACACCAACAGGATTTGCCTGATTTTCTTTGATAATTTCTAGGGACTCTCTAATTGCAGTCCCTGTACTAATTACATCATCTACAACTAAAACATTCCCTTTTAATTGTGAACCAACAATATTTCCACCTTCTCCGTGATCCTTTTTTTCTTTTCTATTAAAGGAATAGGAAATGTCCATATCATATTTATCAGCTAATGCTGAAACTGTTGATAAGGCAATGGGAATACCTTTATAAGCTGAACCAAAAATTAAGTCGTAATCTTGTTTGGTGGCTTCTTTTAATACTGTAGCGTAAATATTTCCAATAGACGTAAATGTGCTACCTTTATTGAATTTACTAGCGTCATAAAAATATGGACTGATACGACCAGATTTTAACTGTATGTTCCAAAAGTTAGGGCATCTTGTGCGATAGCCAGGCTCATAAATTCACGTTGATAAGGCTTAAGTGACATATGTATAATGTGTATATATATATTTATCGTCAATGGTAAGAGAAAAAAAATTCAAAAGCTCTGCCATTGTTTCCGAATATAGCAGTCTAAATATATGATCTGCACATGTTCCACTGCGATTTTCTATCAAGTGCAGAAGGAAATTTTGTGATGACAAGATGTGCAGTGTTACATTATCATCTTTAAAATTTTATAGTTTATATTACAATGGTGAATTCCTACATGAAACTTTCAAAAGGTTTTAAAAGTGAGTAAAAAAATACATGCCTTTAAATTAGCTTGGAGAATACTAAATGAAACTTATTTAATTGATTAATAAAAAATTACTTTGTGTAAATAGAATATGGAAAATGCACATGTTGTTCTTGTTTTGGATAGGCTCTTTCCCTGCTCTTTTAGTTGTTTTAATACGCTTTTTTGTTCCCGAATCTCCCATATGGGAAAGGATGCACAATAAGAGTACTTTCACTTGGCAATCTTGGATAACTGAAATCAACTTAATTTTTAAACATCATTGGGTAAAAATTATTCATACGATATTATTGATGGCATGTTTTAATTTCATGAATCATGGTAATATAAAACGAAAATTTCAATAGTTTACATAAATGAAAATATTATATTAAGGGATTCACGCTATCTTTTAACTAACAGGTACTCAAGATTTATATCCGACATTTTTAAAAGTACAACTCATGCTCTCTCCCGGAGAAATCACAGTGATAACAATAATCGCCAATATTGGTAAGTATCCTTTGACCTGGTTGCGATTTAGAATGTTCTTGATATTTTATTTTAATTATAATTAAATATAAAATACAAGTAGCATAATAGGAGGCGCTGTATGTGGATACATTTCTCAGTATTTAGGCCGTAAACGAACGATTATTCTTGCTGCTGTAATGGTTGGCGCGTTTCTACCATTGTTTGTTCTTCCTCGTAATAAAATCAGTCTAGGTGTTGGCGCATTTTTTTATACTTTTTCGTTCAGGTAAATTAAATTGTGAAATTTAATAATAAATCACAAGATTTTAATATAATTACTAACGAATAGGGAGCCTATGGAATTGTTCCTGCTCACCTGAATGAACTATCACCTCCGAACTGTCGAGGAACATTCCCCGGTTTTACATATCAATTAGGTGTCTTGATTGCTTCTTGCTCAGCGCAAATCGAAGCAGTATTAGGGGAAAAGTTCCCACATAATGGTGTACCTGATTATGGATTAACCCAGGCAGTTCTCACTGCCTGTGCCATATTTTCTTTAATAGTGATGATTTCTATTGGAACCGAGGCTAAGGACGTAGATTTTGAAAAACAATTAGAGAATGAAGATTATGGCCCGGAAAACCGCGATAATATGACAGCATGCAATTAAGATGATAAGTTTAATTTATGTGTATTGTATTTATGATATTACTATAAATAAATGTGTATGATGCATTATTACGTAGTACCTCCGGATATCCGTTTCTCCGATTTGATTGGTTAATCAATGACGTAGATCTTGCTCCGTTTAGACTATCATGAAGTTTCATTAACCAAAGTTGAAAGATTAGCTTCATGGTACCTCCAGATACTTTGTTTACGGTTTTTTGTAACCATCTTTAGCATCTTTAGCTACTCATGTGAAGTTATGATACTTTTGCTCAAAAGAAATATTGATTTTCATAAAATAACGTACCGGTATTGTCAAAGTTGCTTTTAAGGTGATAGAATGCAGGATCACAGACGTTAATAGAGTGGTGCCAAAAGAAAGCCGATTTTCGAAGTTACAACCTATTATTTAACGATGATTGTGCTACGTGTAACAAGCGCGCCGGATGTTACACGATGTTGCAAATATAGGCACGCGTGTGGACGAGCGTGAATTGTTTTTGAATAGCATAAATCAAATAAAGAACCAAATCAAAAACGTAACTGTCAATACGTCCAAAGTGTAACATATGTATCACGGATCTATGATTTTTTGAAAATAAATCAACATTTGAGGTTTCGGAATAGCTAGAGTTTTGTGATTGCATAAGAAATTTGAGAAGTGAAAATTATTAAAACACAGAATAAGATGTATTTTGATGATCAAAAAAAAAAAAAGAAAAGAAATCCAGTTGATGTATTCGTAATTTCCGAGTCCTTGCTTCTGCAATACTCGTACAATAAATATTTCTATAATTAGAAAATAGACTGCATATAAAAGTGATTCAATTCAACTTTAATTCATTTCATTAACTCTACCGTTATTTGCCAATACCAATAATGAGCGATCCATTGTTATGTTCTTTAGGCTCTTGTATTATTGACGATATAAAGTTTTTAAGTAAATTCATGAATTGACAATCAATTGTTTATTATATGAACCATATTTATTTGAGCTTTACGTTTTTTATCATTTCCGTAGATGGGGATATGCAGAAAGATATTCTAGGTGGTAGCGGTGTGCACGCTATATATGGTATCAATTTTAATGTTTTAAATAGATCCGGGTTACATGTTAAATTTAACTGATATTTCAGATATCCGTTAAATTTGTTAAATTTTATATAAACCCGATTAAAAGATTAACCAGGTTGGAACTCTAGTTTAAAATACTTCACTACTCCGATATTAGGTATGAGATTATGGTTTTCATCTCCTGAATCTCAATGCGTTGCATACGCTCCCCACACTGGTCACGATTTTCCTATCAATCTCCAACAGCAGTTATTGGATTTAAACATTTCGCTTACTCCAATACAGCATTCTGACTTATTCTCTACTCGTGGATTAAATACGTTCAAATCTATGAACAAACGACTATTTGAATTCCTAACACCTCTTATAGAACCAAAACTTGCCAAAATGCCAATTTCTTATTTGAATTCCAGGATATTTCATATCATAGGTTATCCAACTGATGTTTCACATTATGTTACTGATATTTTAAGATTACGCGATAAGCAATTGCCACCTCCTATTTTTGTTTGGGAGCCTACACCTGAATGTGCTTCAAAAGAGTATGTACAATCGTGGATTGAAGCTATGCAATTGGTAGATATCATATCACCGAATCATGAAGAGATCGCTGCGGTATTAGGGTTAATCTCAGAGGATTATAAAAAGAACGACCATCTCATGACTAGTGAAATGTTGGGATATATGGCGGACAAACTCTTAGAGCATCAGATTGGTTTGCATGGGAAAGGTTGTGTCATCATCAGAGCGTCTCGTAAAGGTTGTTTAGTAGCGACTAAAGAAAGAAAAGAAATTATACCCGCATACTGGGAACCGCTAGAAGGTGGAAATGATAATCCATCCGTTATAGATGTAACTGGTGCTGGAAATTCATTTTGTGGTGGTCTTATGGTTGGTTTGCTTAAATCGAATTTGGATGTATTTAAAGCCGCGCTTTATGGCGCTATAAGTGCATCATTTACTATAGAGCAAATTGGTGTTCCTAGGTTCAAAATTAATGAACAAGGCATTGAAACATGGAATTTGGGTGACAATCCGCAAACAAGGTTACAAATTTTGAAATTAAGAATTGAAAATACTTAAATATTAACGAACTGGGTTGAAAAATTACTATGGCTATAATAGGATAGAAAAGATTTCATTTAATAGATATTTTATTAATACAGTTTTATTTGGTTTCTTGTGACTCCAATTTTAAAAATTATCATAGTACTGTTTGAGTTTGAATCAATATTTGAATACCGCAGAATCTTCGATCCACGCACTATTTGTGCAAATCGAAATCTTTTTATAAATTCCTTTTTAGATTGGCAAATCCTACAGTATGACTTAAATTCAAGAATGCTGCAGTATGTTAATTTAAATTTAGCAACAATTTATTCTGATGACCGCGAAGATGTACGTACTTTTATAATGCACGAATAATAAACTATAGGTCAACATCTTGTACAAGAAATTTAACTTGTACGTGTCCTTCTGTGACATTGGAATATTTAGTGATACGTACATTACATGTGGACCTCGATCGTATAAATTTTATATGATTGTGGTTTCCTCTTTGCGTCACCCATATAAATTATATGTCAACGGGATTAATTTTTATCTCAACTTGTCATTAACACTTTAAAATTACGTATGTTAAACCCTAAAAACTTATTTAAGGTTAGTGAGTTTAGTTCTAAAAATAAGCCATATGAAAGATGTGTACACTGTAGTCGACATAACACTTCTCCAGCTTGGTGTCAAGCGTGCGATCCTCAAAGAATAGTACAAGAAGGGAGATGGTCAAGTGGAAATAAGAATGTTGATGATTGCATTAAAGAACTTCAACTTAAGGCTACAAAATATGAAAATATAATCGAGTGGATTCCTATTAATAGGTTAATTGATATTCAAAAGGTTGGAAATGAATTTTCAGCAATCTGGTTGGATGGTGTAAGGTCAATTTCATATATAGAGAGGGAAAATAGGTTCATACAGTCGCGTATACCATCATATAAAGTAGCACTTAAAACATTGCTTGGTTCTCGGAATTCGATTGATGTTTTAAGAGAAGTAAGATAAATATTTAATTTAGGGGAACAGATATTTCCTCATTTATTTTGGTATTTCGCACCCTCCTACTACTTAAATAATAACTATTATTTATCATCTGAAGATGAGTCAGTAGAAACACACCAGATCTTTTTTATTGAAATTTTTTTAAATCTCTAAACAAAATAACTTAGCGAAAACTAAATCACATTTAGTATAAATCTTTTTAAATAAATTTTACAAGTTTATAAATTGATTTAAATTTGATTAAGCCACTGTTAAGTTATTTTTGTTTCAAAATTTTACTTCGGTGTGCTTCTACTGCTCATCCCCATATGTGACGTTACGTATATACGTATAAATGTACTGGATGACAAATATCAATAAGATTTGAAATTTTTGGTCCAAGACAATTTAACATACGTGCGACCCGAGGGGTGGAAATACTAAAAATGGATGTGGAAATTCTAGTTTCCTTGATCTGTTAGTATCGGTATAAATTCACGTAGTTTAATTCGTATTTTATTTCTGTTTAATGAGTTTAAAAAATATGTACGCTCAGAAGATAAATATCTTAAAGTATATGGACTAACTCAGAACACCTACACCGATGAATATATGTTAATATTTGAAGAATTTGGTTCTAAAAGGGATAGTCGGAATGGAAAATGTGTACATTGTAAACGATACAACACTTCTAAAGCCTGGTGTCAGACGTGTGATCCTCAAAGAATAATACAAGATTGGACAAGTGGAAATAAGGATGTTGATGATTGTGTTAAAGAATTTCAACTCAAAGCTACAAAATATGAGAATGTAATCGAATGGATTCCTTTTGATAGATTGGTCAATATTCAAAAGAATAAAAAATTTTTTTCAGCAACCTGGTTAGATGGCATACGATCAATTTCAGGCATAGATGAAAAATATACACAGTCACGCACCCCACCATATATAATTGCACTCAAAGCATTATCTAATTCTCAGAATTCATTAGACTGTTTAAGAGAAGTAAGTTTATATAATTTACTGTATAACTTAACTTGTATACATAAACTCTGTTTTATTTTTATATATTCAAAAGTTTAAAAGCCACGTGCAATTAGAAGGCGATAAAATCTATGGGTTAACTCAAGATATGATCACAAATAAATATATGTTGGTATTTGATAATTTTTCTTATATAAGAGATGAGTATAATGGAGAATGTGCATCTTGTAACCGATACAACACTTCTTTGGCTTGGTGCCAAACATGCGATCCTCAAAGAATTGCTCAAGGGTGGACAAGTAAAAATAAAAATATCGATGATTGTATTAAAGAGTTCCAACTTAAAGCTACAAAACATGAGAATGTGATTGAATGGATCCCTTTTAATAGGTTAATTAAAATTCAAAATAATGGTGAGGGATTTTTAGCAACCTGGTTAGATGGTATACGAATATTTTCATATAAGCGGAGGGGATGGACACAATCACGCACGTCACCACATATAATTACACTTAAAACTTTCCCTGGTTCTTATAGGTCATTTGATTTTTTAAAAGAGGTATGTTAAAATAGTTATCTTATTATTTCTGCATACATTTGGACTTCAATAATGTCTATAATGCTACTTGTATATTATGTTTTATATATTTATAAGTTTAAAGGCTATGTGCAATTAAAGGATAATAATATTAAGGTATATGGACTAACTCAAAACACATCCACCAATGAATATATGTTAGTATTTGATGAATTTGGTTCTAAGAGAGATAAATGGAATGGAAAATGTTCACATTGTAATCGGTATAATACATCCGAAGCCTGGTGTCAGACATGTGACCCTCAAAGAATAACACAAGAATGGACAAGTGGAAATAAGAATGTTGATGATTCTATTAAAGAATT